TGAAAAATTATATAATGAAACTTGTATGTTTTGTATACTTACTAAAAAAATATATGAAAGTAATGAGAAAGTGGCCACTTTCATGAGTAAATCATATATGTTTTTACTATTTATTTTCCATATGGGACCTGAGAGAGCGGGTGGGTGTGTCAGGCTGTAGCAGCTCAGAGAGATAAGATGGGGCTAGGCCATGGAGAGCTTTAAAAGCATTTTAAGAAGAAAGAATTTTAAAATGAATCCTAAAAGAAATGGGCAGCCAGTGAAGTGAAGCTAAAACAAGGGAAATGTGCTCAAACTTTCGAGTGCCAGTTAAAAGATGAGCTGTGGCATTTTGCAATCTCTGTAGATGACTAATATATGATGTGCTGACCCCAATATAGAGTGCATTACAGTAACCCAGCCGAGTGCTAACAAAGGCGTGAATCACACTCTCAAAGTGCCATGAAAGAATTGGCTTTATTTTTGCCAGCTGCCTGAGGTGAAAGAAGCTAGATTTTACCACTGCTTGATTATTAAACTTCAGATCACAGTCCACTTTGACCGCCAGGTTTGTGACAGTTGGCTTAACATACTGGGCCAGGGAATCTACATACACATTGGGGGTCTCAGTGGGGCTACCAAAAACCATCACTTCTGTCTTTTTATCATTGAATTTTAAAAAGTTAACAGACATCTAAGCCTTAATGTCGTCGAGACCCTGAAGTAATGGCTGTGTAAGGTATCTGCCTTTTTTCTTTAGAGGGACATAGATCTGACAGTCATCAGCATAAAAGTGGAAAGCAATGCTGTGCTTTCTCAGTACAGAACCAAGAGGAAGCAGATATAAAGAGAAGAGGAGGGGGCCTAGAACTGAGCCCTGTGGGACACCACACAAAAGGGGAGCGGAGGACGACACATAGTCACCGAGACTGACACAAAAAGTTCGCCCCGCCAAGTAGGACCTGAACCACTCCAGTGCTGTGCCCCTAATGCCCACCCAGTCCTCCAAACGAGAGAATAAAATGGCACAATCCACAGTATCAAGCACAAGAACCACAGTCCCCAACATCAGTCGCTAAAAATATGTCATTAAAAACTTTTAAAAGGGCTGATTCAGTGCTATGAAATGGTTTAAAACCAGATTGGAAAACCTCTAACACATTTGTGTTAGATGATCTTCTAACCAGATGAAAGAAAAAGTAAATTAGTCAATGAAACACATGGTTTCTAAGACTTCTCTTTATTCTTGGATCTGTATGATGTCAGAGGGCAGATATCCTTAATTTAGTCATGTTACCTTCTATTCAAACCTACTATTTCTAAAGCGCAGCCAGTCAAAAGAAAGCCAGCTTAAAGGGAAAAATGGATTATGAGGGAGAGAAGCTGAAACAGTTTGTTTCAGACAGCTTGATAAACTGATGGGGCTGCACCAAAGCCCAGTATAAGATTAAAAAAAGGGGGGAACAGTGTGTGCATACAAAAATGTATGTCTATAGAACGACAGATATAGTTAGGAATGGTTGGCTGACCAAGGCAATATACTCTGATGTGTTTGCATGTCCCAAGGGATCCATGCCGTGTGATTGTTCACACGGGATGGGGTGTGCCCAAGCACCTATCTCAGGAACATCTCCAACACTGAGGGAGATTTAGCCTGTCTGACCCCTCTGTCTGACCTCTGAATGGTCTTCCACCGGGCCCCACAAACCTCCTGTCTGCTGGCGTCTGAATATAAGCCCCTGAGCAAGATTCTTTCAGGTCTGGTTTATAAAAAAGCCGTGGGAGATAGTTATGTCTCATGTACACAAACCTCTGTAAGATTGCAATATTAGCCAAACAATACAGTAAAGCTATCCGAATAGTCCAAGCTAAATCCAAATGGGTGTAGTCTAAGACAGATGTAAAACACGGCTCCGCACGTCATGACCTGTAAGCTCATAATAACTCTGGGCGTGCCACATAACTGATGTTCTACCTATGAAACAAAAAGACAAAATAAACATGGTAAACATGTCCAGCTTAGCATCTGCATGTTAGCACTGTCTACAAGCTAACATTAGCATGTAGCTCAAAGCTTGGTGGTGGATTACTAAAGTCTTGCTATCATGCCTTAGACCTTTTCTTTTTTTTGGACTGCACCCTACTCATTTACCAAATTTTCTTTTTTTTCTCGGGGGGCAGCTTTTCAAATCAAGCAAAAATACATTTTGTGAGGCAAGACAAGGAAATCATGTTAGTGGGAGCAGTTTTATTAACCCTCATGGCAGTGATTTTCATCCAGTCTACTACTGCAGCTAATAGCTCAGGCCAAGAGGCATTATCGGCTACAGTAAGGGGATTAGGCCGCCATGTTGGTTCACACACACTGAGGGGGGAGAAGGGGTAAGGAAAAGCACGAAGGGGTGGGTGAATTGCTGGTGGATCTGGAGATTGGGATTGTAGAGATTAAGAGATTTTCTTTTTCATTCATGTTTTTACATTTTACGTGCTCACACCACACAGTGAACTGCCAGCGAAAACAAGCATGGAGTGACCTCCAGCTGTGTTTTAATTTAGAGCCCAATCTTTTTAATAGTGCTGACTACTGAATTTATATTAAACTGACTCTACATTTGCCATCACGAATTTACAGCCCCCCCTTTTCAATTTTGTAGGATTAAGATAGCGTTGCTCTTTATGAGAAATGTATCTCTGTGGATATACTGAAGGGTTATGAAAGAAACAGTCAAGGATACGAAAATATTCAATTTATTAGTGTTCAGGAGGAGAGGAGCTGACGAGCCTCTACCATACCTTACCCATAGACTGTGCATAAAAGACGGCGCTAGCTTCTGGGTCTAAAAAATTATGCCAGTGTTGAAGCCCCTTGAAACTTGGTTTCAAAAAGAGGTCAATTTGTATAGAAGTTTTATTAGAACGTTAACATCTTGACCTGTAACCTTAGCCCTTCCTTGATGAAATTATGCCTTAATCATCAGTTTCAGTTGTCAGTGATTAGAACATGATGCTTATTTTGTATATAATGGCCCCCATTAGCGTCAGGAAGAGTAATAAGGCAGGCCCATCCCACAGATAATGATTTGGGATGGGCCTACTTTGTGACTCACCTAATGTGTTAGTTCTTGTCTCAGTCCGATGAACCTCTCACTGGTCACATTAGGTTTCAGAACATGAGTTACAATGAGACTTCACTAATCAGTGAGAGATGTCACCATGGCTCTCTCCATCTTTTATTGCCTATGTGTTTACCAGATGCAATCCAGTCAAAGAGAACAAAACAGATTTCCAGGCTAATGTAATCAACACACCTAGCAGCCTTAGTCTTTCTGACTCTATTGAACATCTTCCTTGCCACTAGCATTTTCCCATGAGTAGATGGCATCATTATCACTGTGGAAGCACTGCTGCTATTGCCCTGGGGTTAGGCAGGTCTCCAAGCAAAGGTCTTCTTTTTACTTTGTTCGTGCATTTCTAATTACGTTGATTAAATCTACTGGGCTTGCACTGTCGTCTGTGTTTTTGTCTGCGAAGTATTTGAACAGTCTGTTTTTCAAGGCCGTGTGAAGGACACATACCTAGCCAAACAAGGCAGCAATCAAACCCTTGAGAAGGGAACAATAAACAAGGTGGTCACACCTCCAACTTCCTTTCATATCTAGTGTAAACTTGCTTACAGGTCTGAGTGACCTCTGCTCTGGTGCAGAGCAGTTAGAGCCAGCATGTAAACAGGACTATTAATATACACATCTTGCTTACATAATGCACTTATATATAGATAGAGAGCTTTCATACAGCACACATACATACATGTATGTCCAACAGCTGTACATTTTGCATTGTGTTGTCTAGTTTTATGTTCCCATGTTTTCTGAGTAAACTATGTGGCAACAACCTCGACAAAACTGTGATTAGATAATCACTTATTATAATATTGTGCAGAACTATTTTCCTCTGACGCAGTTAACCCTGATCTTCAGATTGATTTCAGATTGATATATGTATATAT